AAATAGAATTTATAAATAAAAAATATCCGTCCTAAATAGTCAATTAAATAATGTATATACAAAGATGACACAAACAATGTAACTAAAATCCAAACTAGAAAAAGGATCAAACGGACCCATGACTACGAGACAGTCCAACGACAAATGAATCATGACTGGAATTTGGATTTAGTTTTACTAAGAAGACACGAACAAGTGTGTTTCTGAGTGAAAATAGTGAAATTTCAGCTTTATACATTATTTATTTCTATTACAATATGTCTTCAAATTGATTACTGATTGTTGACGGTTTTTTACTGGTAAGAAACGCTTACTCGATAAGATGTAAGGTTGTTTATTATACATTATGACTCATAATTGACGTTGATTGATATGTTAAACCTTTAAGAAATTGAATAATTTTTTTTTTGAATGGAAAATCTAAACTTTGTTATTTTTAATGATTAAGATTTTGAACTATTTTTTTGAATTAAAAATCACTAAACTTTCTTATTTTAATTGATCAAGTCCCTGAACATTTACTTAATAAACAAATGATCACACTTTTAAAAATTGGTTATCTACATCCCTTTAACACAAAAAAAAAAATGTTATATTAACTGAGTAATGAAAAGTTTGAAGGTCTATTTATTTGAAAAAAAATTAAGGTCTTAATCATTCAAAATGTGAGTTTAATGATTTTTTTCATTCAAAAAAAAAATTCAGTCACTTAATTATTCAAAATAAATAAATTTAATGGTCTTTTCATTCAAAAAAATAATTTATGGACTAAATTATTCAAAATAAGAAAATTTATTGAGTTTTTTTTTTACCTTTCTCTATAATTAAAACAAATCTCTAATAATATAAAATGTTAATCATGTTTATTTAGTGACTTCTTTTTTGTATGCATGCTTTGTTACTTTTAAAAAATATAAATCGATTATTTGAGTCATAAATAAGGGAAAAGTCTAAAAAAACTCAATCGATTTTAGTGTTTAGAATAATTAAGTCACTGGATAATTTTTTTGATCAAATAAATTATTGGACATTCCAAAACATGTTAAGTAACTCATGAACTTTCTAAAATCTGTTAGATACATCCTTATGACCTATATAACTGGTTAATGTAATAGAATAATGAAAAAAATCCGAAAAATTCCCAATGAATATTCATATTTTGAACGATTAAGTTCTTAAACATTTTTTGAATTAAAAATATTTAGATCTATAAAATCAAACAAATATAATAAAAAAATACTTACATTTACAAAAAAAAAAATTTACATTTAAAAAATATTTTTGATAAAATTTGTTTTAATTAAAATTAATATTTTGTTAGTGATTTTTC